GCTGACATGTTTTTTCTAAAAAAATAATAAATTTTCTTCAAATTAGTTTTTTCAAAAACTAAAATTTTCAAGATTAATTGTGGCGCCAACACGTATGTCCTTTTTCTTCTCTTATTATAGATAGATTCCATTTTTTCTTTTTAATTTATTGTTGTTTAAATTTATTAGACACATTCTTTTTATTTTTATATTTTATTTTCAATGTAACTCTTTTTTCATATACGATTGAATAACTTTTTTTTAAAAAAATGATAATTTTTTTAACTTGAAATTGAGATAGAAATATAGTTTTTTTTAAAAAAAAATGTAAATTAGATGTAATTGCATGAAGAAACTGAAATGTCGTCAACATCCTTTTAAAAATATTAATTTAATAGAATTCAAGTAATTTCTTTATATTTTTAACGAAAAAGGTCTAAAATACCCTTGAAGTATTGAAAATGGTATAAAATTACCTTTTATCCACCTATTGGCTCCAAAATATCCTTGTCATCCAAGTTTGAGTTCAAAGCTGACTACTTATTTAACGGTTTTAAAATTAAATTGTTTTAAATACTTTTAAAATACTTGACGTTCAATTATTGATTATTAATTTAAATCACTGCACACTTGCATTACCACCTGAACTTCTTCTTTATACTTTGAACCCCTAAGCAAAAATTTTGGGTCCCTTACTGTTTTGAAGTTGTGATCGGGCTTAATCGTAAACGGGTTGTCCATCATCCTCAACAAACTAAATAATGTTGGTGATTCATGAAATGTAGAATTGTTGGGTTGTGCTATTTGGATTGCTGAAAGTAGAAGTGAAGTTTGTCATTTTTAGTTTTGCATGGGAAACTTGTTGAACAATTTCTCCATTCCTTTAGGACATGATAAAGCCATCAACAAAAATTTCTCCATTTTCTCCTCCCTTTTATTTCTTGTCATTTGTACATTCAAATGAACTATAGTTAGCATCAAATATATAGAGACACAAACAGATATGTGAGAGAGGGAGGAGAAGACTAACAATTTTGTTACGTATCTAGGTCGAGATCAAATAAAAGTTTAACAAATAAAAAATGTGAACGAATCATGACAAATAATAATATACCTGAAAATAATTTAAGTCCAGTTAAAATTGAAAAAAAGTAATTGTGTTAGAACCACGGGACTCGAGGGATTCCTAATATCTTTTCCTCGATCAACAAAATTTCTTACCCGGTCTTTTGTTTTCACAAACCAAAATAAAGACTCATTTCCTTTTTATTAGGAATTGAAAAAAAAATGACTTGAAACACAAAAACTCAATTTCAAGTGGCGCTTCTGAAATAAATAAAATAATCTCTAATCAATATTGTCATTTTAATTGGAAAACCCTTTCAGTAGTTGATAAAGGGGTGTAATAACTGCTAGTTATTTACATTAGCAATGTAAATAATTAAACTCACTGAAAAGTGATACATATTATTTCACCATTAGTTAAATAACTCGCATTCGAACTCTGAAAATGGAATACTCATTCGTAATAGGAAACATTTTTACTCTAAAAAAATAGAGCTTCTCAACATAAGATCAAATTGAATCAATATATATATATAAATGAGGACCATAGAGGAGGTGATGTGGCACCTCTATATGACCTCCATTTGCATTTAGTTTTTTCATCTTTTTTTTTCAAAATAATTATTATATATCATAAAAAATTACTTAAATTTATTATAAATAAATATTTTATTAATGGTGGGTCATTTATAACAAAAACTCTTCATATTTTTTATTTATTTATCTCACTTATAATTAAAAGAGAAACATAATTTATTTATTTTTGACTTTTTTTAATTTAAATTAATTATTTTATTGTAAAAATATATTACTTCATTTATACAAATATACAAATAAATACTTTATTAATGTATGAACATTTATAATTAAAAAAAAATC